GGAGGTTTGGGGGAGGTGTGGGGAGGTGTGGGGAGGTGTGGGGGAGGTGTGGGGAGGTGAGGTTGGGCCGCGCCGTAGATGAAGTTGTCCAGCTTGATGTCGCGGTGGACCACGCCGCGCTGGTGGCAGTACAGCGTCGCCGACAGCATCTTCTCGACCAGCTTGCGTGCCGCCGCCTCGCCGTAGCCGTGCCTGTGCCGCTTCATCCGCGACACGAGCGCGCCGCCGCTGCACAGCTCCATCACAATGTGCAGCTGGTTCCGCCTCTTCTCCTCGAACCACTCGTGCTGCGGACATGTCGCGGACGTGTCGCGGACGTGTCGCGGACGTGTCGCGGCCACGCGCCTTCCCTCCTCTCCTCGTGCCGCATCTCTCCTACATCTCTCCCCCTCTCTCCCCCCCCACATCTCCTACATCTCTCCTACATCTCTCCCCAAACAGAGATGTTCGGGTGGGTTCGGGTACTTTGGGGTAGGGGAGGGTGTGTTCGGGTACTTTGGGGTAGGGGAGGGTGGGTTCGGGTACTTTGGGGTAGGGGAGGGTGCACCAGCTTCACGATGTTCGGGTGGTCGAGCGAGCGCTGCACCTCGATCTCTTGCCTCAGCTCCTGAGAGGTGGGGAGAGATGGGGAGATGTGGGGAGACGTGGGGAGATGTGGGGAGTATTGCCTCAGCTCCTGTTGGGGAGATATGGGGAGATATGGGGAGATATGGGGAGATGTGGGGAGGATTGCCTCAGCTCCTGTGGCGGGGCGGAGAGAGGGAGAGGAGAAGCGCAATGGAGATGCGGGCGGCGGGGCGATGCGATGGCTGGAGATGGAGCGAGAGGAACACTCCTTCACACTTTGAGTGTGGCAGGAAGGAAAGGGAGGGTGGGTGTGGGTGTGTGGGGGGAGGGGAGGGGATATGGGGGGGGGGAGTGGAGGGGAGCGGGGAGCGGGGAGCGGAGGGGAGGGTTTGGGGGGGGAGGTGTCGTTGAGGAGAGGCGGGCGGGCGGGCGGGCGGGCGGGCGGGCGGGCGGGGGCGGGGGCGGGGGCGGGGGCGGGGGGGGAGGGGGGGGGGGCAGGACTGGTGAGGTGGAGGTTTGAGGGGGAGGCACGCCTCCATGTCTAGGGAGGGTGGGTTCGGGTACAGTGAGGTAGGGGAGGGTTGAGGTGAGTGGGTGGCGAACCTCCATCGTCTCACCGCCCATGTTGTCCAGCGAGACCGTCTTCATCGCGAAGAGCTCGCCTGGCGCGCGGGAGATGTGGGGAGATATGGGGAGATGTGGGGAGATGTGGGGAGATCGCCTGGCGCGCGGGCGGGCAGCCGGGGCGAGTGGGAGCGGGGAGGCGACAGCAAGAGGTGCCGCAGTTGAACGCGGGGGCGCGGCGCTGAAGCGGCAGCAGCGGCGGCGGGGAGGGCAGCAGTGAGGGTAGGCTGCGGTGATCCAGGGGGGGGGGGGGAGGAGCGGCCCAACTGGGCGGGAGAGGCGGGGACCCACCAAAAAGGCGGCGGCTCGGGCCGCGGCGGCGGCTTGCGGACAAAACGGCGGCTGCACTAAAGGCGGCCATTCTCCCCAAGCCGCGTCGCCGCCGGCCGTGCCTCCGCCCGGTGTGCTGCCGCGATGCAAACCCCGGGCGGGCGGGGAGGCGCGCGGGCTGTCGGGTCAGGCAGTGGCGCGGGCGGACAGCCCGGGCCCGGCTGGCCGCGGCAGCGCCCCGAGGGGCGGAGGAGGCGAGAGGGCGGTGTGCGGGCGGGAGCGAGCGGCGAAAGAGGCGCAAGCGGCGGGCCTCACCGGATGAGATCTTCTTGACGACCTGTACCATGCCGCACGCGCCCCGCCCGAGCTCGACGCCCTGCGACAGGTCGTAGACCTCCCACACTGGCAGCTGGTTCTTGCGAACCAGCACTTCCGAGAAAGTTTTCGTCGTCTCATTCTTGTCGCGCAGGTCGGTATTAAAGTTGCCCTTGCTCCGCCCCCTCCTCAGCCCTCTGCTCGGGGCGGTGTCTCCGTCCCGGTGCGGCTCCTCGTTCTTGGAGCTGCAGGCGCCCATGGGGAGCTTTAAGTGGCCCCGGACGGGCAACAAGGCGGTCAGCAGGCACGCCGCAGTTCGATTTTCGAAAAAAGAAAAGCGCTCCTCCGTGGCGTGTGCGTGTGTGCGACTGCAACGACGGACCGCTCGCAGAGGACCATTGGGTTTGTACTATTAACAACGAAGGCGCTCTCAAAAAAAAGAAAAATGTCTTCGCTCGTAAGCACGCCGCTCCATCACGCCGCTCCATTCATAATGGTGTACCCGCGGAATCCCTTGCTCGTAAGCGGGGTTTTCACCGCTCTGGTACTCGCTTAGTGTGGGTAAACGAAAGTACCGTATACGGTATACGGTACTATCAGAGAAAAAGCCGAAAAAGACGCCGGCGGCCGTCCACGACGAGCCAGCCAGCTGCCGGCTCGCACGGCAGCCTCTCCCTCTCGACCAGCCTCAACTTCCATACAGTCAACATTTTGTACCGACGTGCCGATGCTCGCAGAGGCAATCGCGTTCGTCGAGGAACTCGTGAACAACTCGGCGGGGTTCAGGAACGGCCCGGACGGCGAGGCCGACGACTGGAAGTCCATCCGCAGCAAGATCGTCGCGGACGATATGGCTCGATCAACTACGAGGGGATCGAACAGATCTGGGGCGCCACTTCGATCCAGCACGTCGCGTGAAGCGTGAATCGTGATCCTCTTGTCACGTCGCCAACGACAAAACAAACAACAACGACGACGCCTTGCAGCAGGACATGTTCGACGCCATCGTTGACGACCCCGTCGGTGCACCGAGCGACGCGCGCGCACTTCCGCGCAGTACCATTAACGCCCGGAGAACTTCTCAGCGATTTCTTTTTTCCTTCGTGCCAGTTTGACCTTGCGAAGCACGCCGTCGCCGGTTGCAGCTGTCGCACACGGGGATGATCCATGGACAATCAGTGCGATTTCTTTTTTCCATCGTGCCAGTCTGACCGCGCGAAGCAGAAGCACGCAGAGCTCGCCGTCGCCGGCCGTCCAGCCATGCTTACGCGGGCATGCTCCTGCCGGCGCTGCCTCGCGTGCGCCGCCGGCGGTTGCGACCGGCACATGTCCGCCGAAGACGCGCTCGCCGCGGCGGCCGCGGAGGGCCTCGTCCTCGTGCGCAGCGCGAAGAACATCTCCGGCTTTGTCGGCGTCTCCTTTCGCGATACCTCGCACGTCCACCCGTTCTATGCGTCCGACTACACCACCCCGAGCAACGGCAGGACCGCGCGGAAGATACTGGGCTTCTTCGCCACGGCGGAGCAGGCCGCGCTCGAGAAGGCCAGGCACGCTCGCAGCATTCGCAAGCGGGTCGGAAGCGGTGGCGCAAACCTTGCCCGCTCCCACCCGCCGAACGGGAAGCGGCCCGCCGAGACGTCTACTGCACAGGCTGGCGCCGCGTCGCCACCCCAGGCCTGGTGGACCTACAGCAGCGCTGAACGCACTGCGATTGAAGCGATGAGCAAGAGCCAAGTCGAGCAAGCCGCGGCCAGCGAGGGGCTCGTGCTCGAGGCGAATAAGACCGACCCGTCGCGCTACAAGGGCGTCATCGAGCGGAAGGGCGCGGGCGGCGCCGTCGTCTACTCAGCGTACTGGCAGCCGTGCGCAAGCGACGCTCGGCGCCTCGGGTTCACGGGCTGTGGCATGCGCTTCGGGTTTTGGACCCGGCCGGAGCACGCCGCGCTCGCGCTCGCACGGGAGAGGAAGCGCGCCTTCGAGCGGGCGCCGCCGGCGGTGGCGGAGCCGCATGCGCCCGATCCTCTGGGTTGCGCAGCGCCGCATCGACGCATGCCGCAAAGCCCGGCAAGCGCTGCGCCCGGCCGCGACCCGCAGTCCCCGCTTCGAAGCCCTCTGAGGGAGCTCTCGCAGCTGGCCGACGACCGGCTCGCCACCAGGCAGGAGGCCTAGGCGGATCTATGAGAATAATTATCGTCTAGGTCAAGGCGGTAGACAGATCGAGTGCTGACGGGCGAGTCGATCTCCTGGCAGTGATGTCCGAGTGCCGTATTTGCCACCCTGCGCTGCGGTTGCAGGCACACGGTCCGAGGTTGTTGCGGCGCCATAGTGGCGGCCGGGCCCCACGCAGGTAGTGGCGGCCGACATCGTTACGTTGGCATGCGTGGCCCGTGCTGATTGAACGCAGATGACTGTACGTTGCAAGTCCTTGAGATCACTGATCGGAAGCACTGCGAGATGAAAGATGATTGTCCGTTTGTCGGAGAGATCGTGTTAAGTCGTGTGCGCCGTGGACCGGACCTGCTGTACCTCTGTACCTACGAGCTACGTGTGTGTGTGTCTGTGATGAGCGATGGTCCGAAGAGCGATGACTCCTTCGCGCTTGGGGGAGGCGCAGGCCGTTGTGCGTTGAAGCGGGTGGGTTTGAATGGCATGCTCATGCTTTTTTAGCGCGCTTAGGGTATTATACGCATGAAAGAAAAGAAGGCAGGCAAGGCAAGAGGGGGATGGGAGGACAGAACGTGTGTGCTCGCTAGAGGGGCTGTTACCTGTTTTTTAACGGGCTGGCTGCACACATGATACCGTAGCAAGCACCTGGACGGGGCGGCACAGCCCGCCGCTCAGCCTGCCGAACAGTAGGATCCAAGATCATCATCTTCCTTTGTTCAACTCAGGCCTCCAACTCTTCGATTGCGCACTGCTCCCTGTCGATAGCCGTACCTGAGCGTTTGCAATGACTGAGCCTTCCCCAACCCCCCTCGCCCACATGTTGCCCTGTGCCATTAAGAACGTTGAGGCACACCCGGAGGAGTGCAGGCAGGGCCGGTACGTCGCGCAGGTACTCGTAGGGGTGATGCTCCGAGAATCTTGTTGACCCATTATGGAGCATCTCTGCCATCAACGTCGAAATTCTCACCATTTTCAGTGCACCTGATCCGACGATGGTCTCGGTCTGCTCCGGATCCGCATACTGAGTCGCGACATAGTATGACGAGCGCCCCGGGTTTGCCCCCTGCCGGTAGCCGCCAGCCCCCAGAAGCAGGTTCTTGTTGCGGTTGAACCAAGACTGGAGGGTCGAGATCACAGTCTTCTCGCGTTTGGATCGGCAAGGCTGAAAGGCATTCTGGCGTGAAGCGTTTGGGCACAGCTGCACAACCCACTTGCTACTGGTCCCGACGGCATGGTGCACCCTGGACTGGCGGTGAGCCCTGGCGTGAGAGAAGATCAAGGACTTGCCGCTGTGCGTCCAATCGCCCAGTAAAGGCGGGATCAACGTGACCATGTCGTTGTACGAGGACAGTCGAAGCATGCTGTGCGGGAAAATTGCCTCGAGGTGTTCTGCCATGGCTCGATTGCCGAGGCGGGGAGATCCGAAAGTGATGAGTGCGTCAGGCTTGCGATTCGACGCAGCAAGTTCAGCCGCGGCGATCATGGCAATCGGCGAGCCCCATGAGAAGCCACTGACGATGACGGGAGCCATCGGGTGATCGTTGAGGATTCCGTCTATCATCTTGAGCACGGCGCTGCGCATCTTTGTCCAGTAGAACTGCCACAGCCTTGCAACCTTGCACCCGGCACAGTAGGGCGTCTCCGTGGGCCAGAAGGCGTCCTCAAACACGTTATGCACGCTGTGAAACCAGCGCTCTCCAGCGGTAGTGCGTGCCGTCGTGCGCCACAAGGACTCGTTCATGAGATGCTCCAAGCTGACGCTGCCTTTGAAGCTGATCACCACTGTGCCGTCCTTGGTGAGTGACATATCCACAGAGCGTCGGAAGCTCGGAAAGTTGATGTGGCCGACGCTGCACGCACGCACTGAGTAGTTGTGAAAGCTCTCCTCAGCGACAGCTCGCGCTACTCGTAGAGTGTAATCATAGCTGTTGCGGAAACTATGCAGATTGGCATAGGTTCCCGGCCTCGCAGTGGTGGCCATCTCGCTTGCATTGGGCTTGGGCGTGGACTTGGGCGCAGACTTGGGCGCGGACTTGGGCGCGGACTTGGGCGCGGGCTGGGCCACGCACGTCGTGGCCACGATCGCGAGCGTTAATGGTACTGCCACCCGCATGGGTTGCAAGCACGTGAGAAGCAGCAAGGCGCTGCCCACGATCTCGCGGAGGCGGGCACGTGGCGTATAGGCCACGGAGCACGGGCGGGAAACACGGGGAGAGTGTGTGAAGTGACCAGCGCAAAGCGCCATAGGACGTATTTTCTTGTCAATAACAAGGTCTGTGAACATCAACAACACTGCTCGCAACATGCGTGTCGCGCACTCTGTTCCTCACTCAGAGCACAGAGGGGGGTCACAACTACCGGTCTCTCGACTAGCTGCCACGTTGCCGACCGAGAGCGGATCTCCTCCTGCTCCGCAAGGAGGGTGGCGTGTGTGTGTGTGTGTGTCACAAGGAGGGTGGCCAAGGCTAAAGTCTTGCCGGAGCCGCCGGGCGTGTTGACGACTTGGAGAAGGTCGCCCTTGTACTTGTGCTTGTAGAGATGCTCGAGGGGGTGCTTTGTGGGGCGGTGCGCAGCCAGGCCAGCAGTGAAGGGAGGCGCACCCTCACTCTCCTCGTTCGTGCACGGTATTCGGATTTTGCTATTTGCTCGTGTGGGGGTATATTGCAGATTTGTCAATGGTACCGCGTCTGCGACGCGGGCGCCTTGCGGGCAGAGCCCTTAGCCACCCTTCATATCTGTCAAAAAGAATTACAAGGCCGGTTTGGCCTCGGCACATGGTGCACGCCGGCGAGCTGAGCAGCGAGCCAGCGCCGCTGCTCGGCCAGCGAGTCGTGCTCGGCGGGCTCTCCTCCCGTCCCGAGCTGAACGGGCAGCGGGGCGTGGCGCAGAGCTTCGAGGGCGGGCGGTACGCTGTGGCGCTCGAGGGCGGCGGCGAGAGCGTGCGGGTGCGGCCGGGTAATCTGTCGCCGGCTGCGGCGAAGCGGGCGCCGAGCGGTGTCGTGGCAGTCTCCGGCGAGGTCGTGGCAGCGGCGGAGCGTGGCGAGGAGGAGGCGGTGCTGTCGTGGCTCGACAGTGGAGGGCGGGCCAACGCGACGTACGAGAGAGACGGCGTGAGCGGCCTCACGCTGCTGATGGGCGCCGCCCACAACGGCCACGAGCGGCTGGTCGAGTTGCTTTTGCAGCACGGCGCAGCGGTCAACCTGCAGAACAGCATCGGCGGCACCGCGCTGATGATCGCCGCCAACTACGGCCGCGAGCGGGTGGTCGAGCTGCTGCTGCAGCACGGTGCGGAGGTCGACCTGCTGAACAGCGCCGGCTACACCGCGCTGATGTGCGCCGCCGAAAGAGGCCACGAGCGGGTTGTTGAGCTACTGCTGCGGCGCGGGGCGAAGGTCAACCTGCTGAACAGCGACGGCTGGACCGCGCTGATGCTCGCCGCCCACTACGGCCACGAGCGGGTGGTCGACTTGCTGATTCGGCACGGCGCTGAGGTCAACTTGCAGAGCAGCAAAGGCGTCACCGCGCTGATATACGCCGCCGTCTTCAACCGCCCCGCCGTCGTGCGGCGCTTGCTGCGGGCGGGCGCAGACACGGCGGCGCGCGCTGAGAACGGCAAGACGGCGCTGCAGCTGGCCAAGGAGGAGGGCCACGCCGAGTGCGTCGAGGCCTTCAAGAAGCACGTCCAGGAGGTGGTGGCGGGACGGCTCACGGCGACGGCAGCCGGCGGCGCAGGCGCAGGCGGCGCTTCCTCCGGCGGCGCTTCCTCGGCTGGATCGAGAGTCGCGAAGACGCCATCTCCAGCGGTGGCGGCGGGGCGGGCGCCAAGCGGTGTCGTGGCAGCCCCCGATGCGGTCGTGGCCGCTGCTGAGCGAGGCGAGGAGGAAGCGGTGCTGGCGTGGCTTGAGGGCGGCGGGCGGGTCAACGCGACGTACAAGCAAGGCGAGCGGAGCGGTTTTACGCTGCTGATGGGCGCCGCCCACAAAGGCCACGAGCGGGTGATCGAGCTGCTGCTGCGGCACGGCGCTGAGATCAACCAGCAGAACAGCGACGGCTGGACCGCGCTGATGTACGCCGCCTTCAACGGCCACGAGCGGTTGGTCGACTTGCTGATACGGCGCGGCGCTGAGGTCAACTTGCAGAACAGCGACGGCGGCACCGCGCTGATGTTCGCCGCCGTCTTCAACCAGCTCGCCGTCGTGCGGCGCTTGCTGCGGGCGGGCGCAGACACGACGCCTACCTTTGACGGCAAGTCGGCGCTGCAGCTGGCCAAGGAGAAGGGCCACGCCGAGTGCGTCAAGGTCTTGGCTGAGGCGGCGGCGGCTGCAGACGGCCGGGCAGGGGCGGGCGGCGCTCCCTCGGGCGCGGCAGCGGCAGCGGTGGACGCGCCGCTGCTCGGCCAGCGAGTCGAGCTCGGCGGGCTCTCTTCCCGCCCCGAGCTGAACGGGCAGCGGGGCGTGGCGGGGAGCTTCGAGGGCGGGCGGTACGCTGTGGCGCTCGAGGGCGGCGGCGAGAGCGTGCGGGTGCGGCCGGGTAATCTGGCGCCGGCGGCGGCGGCGCCGAGCGGTGGCGTGGCAGTCTCCGACGAGGTCGTGGCAGCGGCTAACCGAGGCGAGGAGGAGGCGGTGCAGGCGTGGCTTGAGGGCGGGGGGCTGGTCGACGCGACGTACGAGAGAGACGGTGTGAGCGGCCTCACGCTGCTGATGGGCGCCGCCATGCACGGCCACGAGCGGATGGTCGATTTGCTGCTGCGGCACGGGGCGAAGATCAACCTGCAGGACAGCATCGGCGTCACCGCGCTGCTGCTCGCCGCCGTCTTCAACCAGCTCGCCGTCGTGCGGCGCTTGCTGCGGGCGGGCGCAGACACGACGCCTACCTTTGACGGCAAGTCGGCGCTGCAGCTGGCCAAGGAGAAGGGCCACGCCGAGTGCGTCAAGGTCTTGGCTGAGGCGGCGGCTGCTGCAGAGGGCCGAGCAGGGGCGGGTGGCGCTTCCTCTGGCGCGGCAGCGGCAGCGGTGGACGCGCCGCTGCTCGGCCAGCGAGTCGAGCTCGGCGGGCTCTCTTCCCGCCCCGAGCTGAACGGGCAGCGGGGCGTGGCGGGGAGCTTCGAGGGCGGGCGGTACGCTGTGGCGCTCGAGGGCGGCGGCGAGAGCGTGCGGGTGCGGCCGGGTAATCTGTCGCCGGCTGCGGCGAAGCGGGCGCCGAGCGGTGGGGGGAGAGTCTCCGACGAGGTCGTGGCAGCGGCGGAGCGTGGCGAGGAGGCGGCGGTGCTGGCGTGGCTCGAGGGCGGGGGGCGGGCCGACGCGACGCACGAGAGAGACGGCGTGAGCGGCCTCACGCTGCTGATGGGCGCCGCCCACAACGGCCACGAGCGGCTGGTCGAGTTGCTTTTGCAGCACGGCGCAGCGGTCAACCTGCAGAACAGCATCGGCGGCACCGCGCTGATGATCGCCGCCAACTACGGCCGCGAGCGGGTGGTCGAGCTGCTGCTGCAGCACGGTGCGGAGATCAACCAGCAGAACAGCGACGGCGGCACCGCGCTGATGAACGCCGCCTGCAACGGCCACGAGCGGCTGGTCGAGTTGCTTTTGCAGCACGGCGCAGCGGTCAACCTGCAGAACAGCATCGGCGTCACCGCGCTGATGCTCGCCGCCCACTACGGCCACGAGCGGGTGGTCGAGCTGCTGCTTCGGCACTGCGCTGAGATCAACTTGCAGAACGGCGACGGCGTCACCGCGCTGATTTACGCCGCCCTCTTCAACCACCCTGCCGTCGTGCGGCGCTTGCTGCGGGCGGGCGCAGACACGGCGCCCACTGTCAACGGCAAGACGGCGCTTCGGTGGGCCAAGAAGAAAGGCCACGCCGAGTGCGTGCGTGCCCTCGAGGAGCACTCATCGACCGCAGCAGAGGCGGAGGGGGAGACGGCGGTCGCAGAATTAGCCGAACAGGCCGCGGCGGCCGCACGCGAGGCGGCAGCGGCAGCGGAGGCGGCGGAGGCGCGCGATGCTGCCGAGGCTGCGCTGCGCGAGGCGGTTGAGGTGTGCGAGCGAGGCGACGCCGATCTCGAGGCGCTCAGGGCGGCGATCAATACGCATACCCAGGTCGCCGACGGCTCGGAGGCGCTGCGGGCGGCGCGGCGGCTGCGCGACGAGCTGGCCAAGCCGCTGAAGCGGCAGCGGCAGAAGGAGGAGAAGGCGGCGGCGAGGCAGGCGGAGGCGGCAGCGCGGGCGGTGGAGCGGGCGGCGGAGCAGGCGGAGGAGGCGCGGGCGGCGGAGGAGGCGCGGGCCGCAGAGGAGGCGCGAGTGGCGGAGGAAGCGGATCGGGTGGTAGCAGAGGCTGCGGCGGCGCGGGCGGCGGAGGAGGCGGAGGAGGCATCGCGCGCAAGGGAGGAGGCAGAGGCGAGGGCGAGGGAGGAGGCGGCAAGGGAGAGGGAGGAGGCGGAGGCGGAGGCGGAGGCGGAGACGATGGCGGAGGCGGCGGCGGAGGCGGCGGCTCTAGAGGCGGCAGTGGCGGCCGTGGCGGCGGCGGAGGCAGTGGAGGCGGCGGCAGCGAGTGTCGCCGCTCTCGCCGCCGCCGCCGCGCCGCCCGCCGCCGTCCCTCTCGACGAGCTCATCGCGGCGACCGACGGCTTTGCCGAGGCGCGCAAGGTGGGCGAGGGAGGCTTTGGGCGCGTCTACCGCTGCGGCGCGCTGCCGTCGCTTCCGCGCGTCGCTTGCGGGTTCGCCATCAAGACAGCGCTGGTCGGTGTCGGCGCCCAAGGCCTCGCCGAGCTGCAGAGCGAGGTGCGCACCCTCAGCGCGGCGTGCCACCGGTCCCTCCTCCCTCTGCTCGGCGTCTGCTTGGCGCCGGCGAGAGCGTGCCTCGTCTACCCCCTCTGCCGCGGCGGCAGCCTCGAGGACCGCCTCTACCGCGCGCCAGCCGCGCTGCAGCGGCTCCGCATGCTCGGCTTCGAGACGCCGCCTCCGCCTCTCTCCTCCGCCGCACGGCTCCGCGTGCTGCGCGACGCCGCGAGCGCTCTGCACTACCTGCACAAGCTCTCGCCCATGATCCTGCACCGCGACGTCTCGGCGGGCAACATCCTGCTCGACGAGCGCGGCAACGGCTACCTCGCCGACG